CAGTGAGTGCACCGGCCATCCCTATATAGGATCCGAACCCGCGGCAGGAATGCTACTGCACTCCCAGCGCTGCACTCTCCCGAGTGCGCCGTGGGGCAGCCCTTGAGGTTTCCTTCTAATGTTGTTTCCTTGTGTCTTCTTTATTTCACCCTTCTTAAACAAGACCATCTATTTCACTCTTTACAGAGAACTAGCTCATAATTTTACTAATTATCTCTACTGGGTTTTTTCTACTTATTTTATTAATGCCTGCTTATCACATTAATTCCTCCTTTCTAGTTTTTTGGGGGGTATTTATTTGGATATAGTAGAATGTGATTGGATTAAAAGCTTAGTTATTAGAAAACTTTTCATAGTTTACTAATAAATACATTTTAGGTCATAAGTTTTCTTCTGAGTATCACTTTGGCCAGTCCATTAAATTTTTGATATAGGCACTCTCATTTTTCTCTTCATCCTAAATAGTTTGCAATATCCCTTGTTATGTTCTCTTTAACCCAAGTGTTATTCAGGTTGTGTATTCTGATGTCCAGGCATTTAGAACATTTTATTGTCTGCCTATTGTTGATTTCTATTTTCATTTTAATGTAGCCCGAGAATATGGTTTATGTGGTATCAGTTTGGGGGGGTTATAATTTCTCTTATGGCCTACTTTGTGGAGAATTTTTAGGAGTGTTGCAGTATGTTTGAAAAAATGTTAATTCTCTTGTTAAAAAATAAAAATGTAGATATATGATATATAAAGCAAATATATTAGTTATTCCAATATAGCCTTATACCTACCTTTCTTCTACTTGATCTATTTCTGAGATGTGTTAGTTACTGCCATTATGGATTCCTAAAATTTTTCCTTTTCTCTCATTTTTTTCTGTTTATATTTCAGAATTATATTGTTAGATAAATATTAGAAGTGCTGTATGCTCCTGGTAGCTGCATTCTTTTAAAATATGAAATATCCCTGTTAATAATCTTTGCTTTTTCTGAATTTGTATAATACTATCACCACACTTCCTATTTTGATATTTCCTTGTGCTTTTCAATTCCTTTCTTTTTAAATTAAATTTTTGTTATGAAAATTTCATACAAATACTAAAGAAAAGAGAACAGTATAATGAACTCTATGTACCCAACACCCTGCTTCAACATTTATCAATTTATCATTCTGTTATTCTTATTTCACTCATCTACCCCTTAAATGGAGTTTTTAATGCTAATATCATTCCTACCATAAATATTTCGATGTGAATCTCTAAAATATGTTATCTTCTTTTTAACATAACCACATTACCAACATAACTGACAATAATTTTTAGGCCTCTGGTAGAAATGTGAGTTCACTAAAGGACTTTCGTACATTTTTCCTTAGACCGTCTTTTGGGAAAAGAAATAGAACCGGGAATAAGCAGAGTTCAACCCTCTTATTGGCCTCATTTTTAATTACCCGGAGGTAACCGGCCTGAAGGTGCCGGCATGCTCACCTCACACCTTCCCCACCTGCTGGTACTGAAGACCATCACTGCGGCAGACAAACTCCCACCACTGTCAGGCAGAACTTCCGGGCAGAAGCAATATTTAAGCTGGGTTTCGAGGGGGTTTAGGCGTTCATCAGGTGAAGGTCATTCTATATTTATAACTCCCAGCCCCACCCCCTAAAAGGGAGGGAGGCGAGTATTAGCGGGTTCAGAATTTCCATACTGGAGAAGCTAAAGGAGGAGTTAGAGACTGGATTTAAGGCTTCATTTATATATTAAGGACATTGCTATTAATTATATTTTAATTTACAAGTAAATAAAAATAGCAAAGTTTTCTTTAGGTGCTTTTAGCCATATGGTGGTCACATTAAAGACCATTATTATTTTTATTATTGCTATTATTATTTTATTTATCATTTATATTTTTATGTTTATATATATTTATTAATATATTATCTTATATTATTTATATTATTGCCTATTATAGTTTTCTTATCGCTACCTACTATAGTTTACTTGAAATAGTTCGGGTGGAGGCTAACGGAGATGAACGGGGATTGGAGCTTCCGCTCCCCCTACCAGCCTTCACAAGGGCACGCCTGGCTTTCCGCTCCCACCGACGGTCTGACCTCCCCGGAGTGGACTGCACTGTCCTGACTCCTCATCTGTTTCCTACGGTGCTTTCTCCCATGAAAGCTTCTACCGCTCTCCCTGCAGCGTTCTACCCATTCTGACGTCTCTGTCTCGCCCGCTCAGTTTCGCCCAGGAGCAGACACCCTGAGTGGTTTCTCCAAAAAGCGGATCGCCCCATTCTGACGTCTCCCCTCATCTCCCAGTCGTTTCTTCCAGGATCCCTCTCCCTTGATAACGTTTCCTCCCTGGCTTCCCTGTTCCCCGGCGGTTTCTCCCAGCTGTGTGCTGTATCCAGAGGGCAACTTAGCTTTTCTAACTGTAACGTAGGCTGCGGACCCCACCTCCAGGACCTTCCTCCTCCGGGAAGCAAACTCAGGCCAGGACCACGCTCCTGCTTTCTATGTAACAGCGCCTGCCTCGCTATGAGACCGGGCGGGAGGCCGAGTCCTCCGCTGTACGGAATGGGTGCGCTCCCAAGATGGCGGCCCCCATGAAGACGCCCCGTATGGGCACAGCCATGTTTTCTGCGCCCTGCAGCCTCTAACGGAAACTACGCAATGTCCCTAACTGTGTATCTGCGCCATGTTGACTGTTGGCCGAATATGGCTTCCAACGTACTTCAGAGCATGCGCCATACCAACGGTTTCTAAGGGGAGGTGCTAGACGTCCGACCGGAATCGAAAACGGTACTCGAAGGCTTTTTCGCCGCTAGTGTCAGAAGTATTTCCACATCTTAATGCCGAGACGTCTCTGAGATGATTTTGGTTGGTCGCGATTAGGGATTCTGTGGACTCAGTAATAGGGGGGTTGTCCGTGGAGTTAGGAAGGTGGCTCTGGGTTCAGTGATAGGGGAGTCTCTGGCGTCAGTCGATGGTTGTCTGTGGTGGGGTCTCTCGGGTCACTTGTGGGGCTCTATGAGATGAGTGCTTGGTATTTGGGAGCCAGTGGTGGGAGTCTGAGGTCAGTGGCCGAGGGCCTCTAGGGTAAGCTGTCGGGGTACGTGGGGTCTGTGATCATCTTGCTTTCTAATCTGAGTTGAAAGTTCAGCGCATCGATTTTTCAGCCTTCTTTCATATAGAGACTCACACGATTTGGAGTGTAGCATTTTCTCAGACTAAGTGGGTTTTTTTTAAATTTTAGTGGTTTTTTTGGTTTTTGACCCATGAGTTATTTAGAAGTGTATTTTTTTGTTTCAAGTAATATCTGTGGGTAATGATGAAATTGAAAAATTGTTTTATGGCCTAGTGCATGGTCAGTTTTCATAAATGTCACATCTATTGCATAAAAACAATGTATGTTCTTTAATTGTATTTTTACATATATAAATTAAGTACATAGTTAATGTATGTAGCTATCTTCTCACCCACTATTTTGTATGCTTAATTAATTACAGAGAAGGTAAACGACACAGTGGAAAGGTAATATGTCCACTTGTCCTTCCGTCAGTTTCTGCAATATGTAAATATTTGAACCTATATTATTAGGAACAGTTATGTGTGTTTTTAATAATAGATATGACTAAATAACTCAAAAGATGTAGCAATTCAAACTTCCACCAACAATTAATAAAATACCTCATTTTCCCAAATGTTTCCCAGCACGGGATATTGTTGCCTTTTTAAAGTTTTTTACAATTTGAGAGAAAATTATATCTAATTGCTCTAGTGCAGTTTCCTGTTTTTGGTTAGTTGTTACTTGTTTCCTTTTCTGTGAGTATTCATATCCTTTGTGCAGTTTTTTTCCAGCCTTATTGATCTTAGTGATTGCTAGGTTTTTTTTAACCTTAGAAATAACCTGTTGTCACATATTGAAAAGATTTTTTATATATCTTCATTTCAATTTTTATAGTGTTTTAACATATTATTAGGAAATATCACTTAATCAGAAATATCTATTATTTCTTTTATAGCTTCTGAGTTTCCTCTCATGTGTAATAAGATCCCTTCCACTCCACCACGATGTTATATAAACATATGCTCCTAAAGTATATATTAAAACCCCAAAGAATTTGTCTATTGAGTAGTGTTGGAATTTGTCTACTTAATAGTGTGTGATGGAGATCTAATTTGTTTTGTTCCAGGTGGATAATATAACTGTCAGTGCTATTTATGGAATGAATGTCTTGCGCACACTCAGTGGATTACCACTTTTGTCACATATACTCGTATTGATGACTGTTGTCTGATATACATATTTTTTTACTTGTTTTGAATACGTTGGTTTTTATATTGTTTTAATATCTGATGGTGCATGGTAATTGCTGATATTTATTGCATGATTCTTGTGTGCCAGGGAGGTGTGAGTACTTTACAAACATCATCTCATTTAGTTTTCATCACTATGTTCTAGTCATTTTCATCCTCATTTTGAAACTAAAACCAAAGTAACTTCTTCGTGTTCTCATAGCTGAAAGGTGGCAGAGCTGCAATTCAAATCTGCAGTAATGTACTCCGAATCTTCATGGTTTTTCCCATATTTTACCATGATTAATACCTGTTACAGATTTTGTTAAACTTTATATTCTCCACAGCACTGGTTCTCAGTGTGACCTCTTGCATCAGCATCACCTGTGCAGTTATTAGAAATGCAAATTCTTGAGTCCTACTTTAGACCTACTGAACCAGAAACTGTGGGGGTGAGGCTAAGAGTTTGTAACTGTTTTAACAAGCCTTCCAGGTGATTTAAATTCATGCCCAAATTTGAGAACCACTGCTCTGTGGTTTCTAGCTCAGAGACCTGCACCTTGGTATATCCAGGAAATGTTTATGTGGTGAATGTTGAATAATTAAGTATATGGACATTGTCTTTCTAGGTTTTTTGGTGTCTCTGGGGAGGTCATGGCTCAGCTCTTCTTCCAGACTCCAGCCCATCTTTTCCCAGCAGCTCCACTTGAGCTCACAGATGACCACTAAGTTTCAGTCTCCTGAGAGAATAAGGGTTGAGACCCAGTGTGGCCATGCCAGCTGATTGGACCTCACCCCGGAAATCCCCAGCCCTAGCACTAGGGGATCATGGCAGTTTATGTAAGGTGAGGAGGAGGAGTCCCAGGGGTGGGAATTCATCCTGGGAGTACATATCTCTGATCTGTCACCAGAGCCTCAAGGAAGAGGCAGAAGGGCTATAGGAAGCAGCCAGACCCTAGACCTGCTGCTCCTGAAACAAATCTTGATCTTCCTGTCAAGGTTGAGCAGTAAATGGGTACTGTCTCCATCTGTAGAAGCCAACTGTATGACAGTGGAGGGGTGGACTGTCAGGGAAAACTGTTGTTTATTTTGTCATCACACTATTGATCTTTTGGCTGCGAATAGAATTCCTGATTAAAAATCACTTTTGTGGGGCCGGCCCGGTGGCGCACTGGATAGTGCGCCGCTTGGGAAGCGCGGCGGCGCTCCCGTCCGAGGGTTCAGATCCCACATACAGACCGGCTCCCGCTCACTGGCTGAGCGAGGCGCGGGAGCAACACCGAGGCTTGCGATCCCGTTGCCGGTCCCCGGTCCGGTACGGGGGCAACACTGAGGGTTGCGATCCGTTGCCGGACACGGAAAAAAGACAAAAAAAAAAAAAATCACTTTTGTGTGGGATTTTGAAACTATTTCTCCATGTCTTCCTAAACTATCCCTAACATTTTTTCTATTCTCTTTTTGAAATTTCTGTCTTTCAGATGTTCATTCTCCATTTTTTCTCCACTATTTTCTGTTTCTTTGCTGTTCTCCTTTCTGGTAAACTTTTTCTTCCAGCCTCCTATTGAGCAGATATTACTGCTATCAACATTTTAATTCAAACTTTTAATTTTCAAAAACTCTAGTTTATCTTCTAAATATTCTTGCTTATGAGCATTCTGTTTTTATTTCATGGTACAGTATGATTTCTTAGCCCTCTGAATATACGATGATAGTTTATTAGCAATAGTTTATTTTTCTGAATAGGCAATACATAGTTCAAAAAGTAGAAAAATATAAAAAGCAGCACATTGAAAAGTATTATGGTGAAAGAAATTCAGGGGAAAGATGGGACTGTGGTTCATCTACTTCTGTCTCCCACTTGCCTATGTCTGCTAATGTTGATGACCCGTCTTATTAGTTTTCTCTGATCGCTTAGTTCTGTATGCAAGTAAAAACTACAAAATTTTACCAAATGTGGCAAACTAGACATACTTTTGCACATTGCATTTTTAATGTTTGTTTGCTAAAATACAGAACACATAATGAAAAACACAGTAGTGGACATTACTGTTATGTCTTCCCTTTCTACTGGATACATGAATAATAAGAAGAATTTTATTTCAGCATTTTAGTCAAATGCAATGAGGGTCCCAGCCGAATCTTAGTTAACCTCCACCTCTGCTGCTGTTGAACAGTTTTATGATTGGGTATCTTAATAATTTTTATCTAGAAGATAGAAAGAATGGAATGAGGCTAAAGCTATAATTGGTAAAGAAGGAACAGTCACTTGTATTAGCTAGAATAAGGAGATGTTTGTTCACTTTGGTGGTTTGAGCAGTGTTCTAATTTTTGTCTGTGCTTGGACATGATTACAGAGTAGTCTTGGTTTTGTCTTGCACCATGATGGTCACAGTGGTCTTCACTGATGTTGGTGTTCTGTGAGATTGTTTTTGTATAACACCGTGGAAAATACCATGACTTGGCCAATCCTGCTAGGCCAGCTCCTAGCAACACTGAGGCCTAACTGATAGTACCAGGATGACTCTCAGCTGTCCCTAACTGCTTTTGTTGTCATTTAAAAGTAAAGGAATGGAAAAAGATTGACTCAGAAACAATAACCAAAAGAAAGCTAGGGTTGCAATTTTAGGAACAGATCAAAAGGAATTTAACATGAAAAACACCGAAAGGGATGAAGAGGGATGGTTCATACTTGATGCCCAAACCAAAGACAATAAAACAACTGGAAATTATGAACATAGGTTCAGAAGTCAAATGTATTAACTAACTACATTCAAGAGTAGATGGAAACAATAGCTTAATAGTGTTTATCACAGGGAAAGATGTGAAGCAGATACTGTTTTCTCATTCAGCAGCCCACTTCAGAGTCCAACAAGTCAAAACAAAAATAGTAAAATATCTCAAAAAAAAAAAAAAAAAAACCCAATATATATCAGAAGCTATAATATATATAGCAAAACAGTACTCAAAAATAATTTATTTGTTTATTTAAATTTTTTTTTTTCCTTTTTTCTTTTGTCTTTTTTCGTGTCCGGCAACGGATCGCAACCCTCAGTGTC